GCTGTCCCTCAGCTCTTCAGCTCAAGGCTAGTGCTCTACAGCTTGAGCCACAGTCCAACTTCTGGCATTTTTCTTTTTGCTTATGTGTGGTGCTGAGGAATTGAACCCAGGGCCTCATGCATGCAAAGCAAGCGCTCTACCACTGAGCCACCTTCCCAGCCCATTGAGATTATTTTGGAGAAAATTCTTTAACAAACTGTCTTACTCTTTTAATAAGAAAAAGTTTCCTGAAAGAATTCTTCCTCTCACCACATCATTGAATCCTTCTCTTCTGGTTGTGGCATACATGGCTTCAGTAGACACATTAGTATCACACCTGTGACCTGAACACAAAATAGTAACATTTTGGCTGAAAATTAGGCCTATATTGAAATTTTGAGAAATTGTACTTAGTAGTTCCTCTTCTCTATCAGCTATCATGGAAAGAAAAGAACAGAGTCAAAAAAAAGAAACTTCATCCATTTACCCATCCATCTGTTCACCCCTCCCCATCCCCCCACTATCCAACCTCCCATCCTTCTATCTATCCAGGCATATATTGAGTTGTACCTTGTGTCAGGTACTACATTAGATGGGCTGATCCTATAAAATCATTATCTCTTTCAGATATTCACAGTCTAGAGAAGTAAATTGAACAAAGACATGATGAAAAGCTTATGCACATAAAATGATAAAATGACAAAAGTAAAATGTTAATTTACTTTTCTAAATCATTAACATTATCTTAGGTTTTGTGTGTGTGTGTGTGTGAGAGAGAGAAAGAAAGAGAGAGAGAGAGAAGAGAGAAAGAGAGAAAGATTGTGTACAAGTACAGGGATTTGAACTCAGGGTCTTGTACTCGAGGCTTTTTTTAGCTTTTCACTCATGGATGGTGCTCTACCACTTGAGCCATACCTCTACTTACAGCTTTTATTGTGATTGGTGAAGTCTCTCAGATTTGTATGCCCTAGACTGGCTTTACTTCTGAGTAGCTGGGATTATATGCATGGGCCACTGATGTCCAGCTCAAGGAAACCTTCTGAATGTCTGAGGGAAAACTACTTTAAAAATACAATACCCACTGGGCATCGGTGGCTTACACTGATAACTGCTCAGGAGGCTGAGATCTGAGGATTGCGATTTGAAGCCAGTCCGGCAGGAAAGTCCATGAGAAAGCTGGAAGTGCAACTATGGCTCAAGTGGTAGAGCACTAGCCTTGAGCAAAGAAAGTTCAGAGGCAGCACCCAGGCCCTGAGTTCAAGCCCCAACATTGATGCCAAAACCAAAACCAAAACCAAACCCAGCCACCTTACCATATTCTAGACCATCAAATCTTGCCATATTTGATGCCACTTCTGCTGTGCACAGTACATGGTAGCAGACAATGGAGTAACAGGTGTGGGGCAGTGATACTTCGATTACTTTGGCTCCCTCAGACTCAAAGAGGTCAGCAGCTTTGGACCAGACAGATCGTACTTCACTTGATAATTCTGGAACAAGATATTCCTTATAGAAAAAAAGCCAACATACAGAAATTAAAACATCTATATAAGTTTATAAAAAAAACTTGTATACTAAGACCAGTATACTTATAAAAACTGATATATTGCTGGCAGGCAGCTAGACAGATTGAGCCAGAAGCGTTTATGCTATAACAAGCAAAGTTCTAGATATTGTAAGCTGGATATAATAAAGATTGGAGATCTGGTTGAGAATTCATATTTGTTAAGTATGTAAGTATCACATTCTCTGCTACATGCCTTCAAAGGTTTGCTTATTCAATGATTCCGACAACCCCATTTTAGAGATATTATCATTCCTCATTTTATGAATGAAAAGTACTGAGAGTCAAAAAGTTAAGTAACTTCCCTAACTGGGTCTGTTTCCTAAGCATGTGGTCTCAGTCCTTAAAGGGCATCGGTGGTTACCTCAATGTAAGTCCTTTTTAAAAAGTAGTATCTCTCTATAGTAGTGGTCTTACCTGAGGGTAATTTTTGCTTCTTTTTTTCCAATCTAAGGGGGGAATTTCTGGGATATTTTGGTTGTGGGGTTGTCATGGTGGTGAAGGGTGCTACTGGCCTCTAGGGGCAGAGGCCAGGGATGCATGTAAACTTTTTGCAAGCACAGCACAATCTTCCACAACAGAAAATTATCCTGTCCCAACACCAGCTGCACTAAGGTGGAGAAACCTTATTATTCTACACGGCAGTGTCATTTTGCAGACAAGGAAACTGGCCTGACAGAGATCAGCACATGGCTAGCAAAAGTAGCAGTCTGCCTAAGTCTATTCTGTTTGAGATGACAGTTTTTCTGTAAAAAAAAAAAAAGTAAGGAAAAGTGGCATTATGGCTCAAGTGGTACAGTACTAGACTTGAGCAAAAGAGCTCAGAGACAGTGCCCAGGCTACAAGTGTAAGCTCCACAATCCAAAATAAAAAGTTTTATATATAGGCTGGGCACAGGTGGCTTACACCTATAATACTAGCTACTCAGGAGGCTGAGATTTTAGGACTGCAGTTCAAAGCGAGCCCAGGCAGAAAAGTCTGTGTGAGACTCTCATCTCCAATTCATCACTCAAAAACCAAAGTGGCACTGTAGCTCAAAGGTAGCCTATACAAAAAGAGCTCAGAACAGCATCCAAGCCCTGAGTTCAAGCCCCATGACCAACTGAACAGAAAAAAAAAAAGGAAATGTAAGGAAAAAGTTACCTTGGGAATTCCTATACATAATTTGCTCACATCTGTCAAACTGGAAGGCATGAGTGGCTTAACAGGATCTTGTACTGTGGTAGAATCTTTGGGATCATGTCCAGCTAGTACATCTATAAGGAGAAATAGTTATGTGGAACAGTCTTACAATTTTAGAGCAAAAGTGTTTCAAATAATCAAACAATCAAATAGATACCCAACACAATTGCTGTATCATCCACACATCTGGTTAAGATTCCTGGCACATCCATTGAATTCACCAGGGGAATGAGACCATGACGAGAAACTAAGCCATAGCTTGGTTTGAAACCAACAAGTCCACAGTGGGCAGCAGGATTTCTGGTCGATCCTCCAGTATCTGATCCTAAAGCCCTGGAATTTAAATAGAACTCTCTTTAGAAGAAAGGTATATTTCAAATGTACTTGGAATCTACCTTTTAAAATTGTGTATCTTTTTTTTTTTTTTTGGGTCCGGTCGTGGGGCCTGAACTCTGGGCCTGGGTGCTGTCCCTCAGCTCTTCAGCACAAGGCTAGCACTCTACCACTTGAGCCACAGCGCCACTTCCGGCTTTTTTCTTATATGGTGTTGAGGAATCAAACCCAGGGCCTCATGCATGCAAGGCAAGCGCTCTACCACTGAGCCACCTTCCCAGCCCTAAAATTGTGTATCTTAAAAATATACTTTCTCAGGGTGCCAATGATTCACTTCTGTAATCAGGAGGCTGAGATCTGAGGATTGCACAGTCAAGTTTATGAGACTCTTATCTTCAATCAACCAGCAAAAAGCCAGAAGTGGAGCTGTCGTTCAAGTGGTAGAGGTCCAGCCTTGAGCAAAAAGGCTCAGGGACAGTGCCTAGATCCTGAGTTCAATCCCCAGAATTACCATGCACACCCACACCCCCACACCCCCCCCACACACGTGTATTACCTCTGATTATAAGTATTAACATATACTAATTTTAGGGTAGAAAATTGGGAGCCACTGGCTCATACCTGTAATCTATTTATGTACAAAGATGAGATGCTGAAGATAAGAGTTTAAAGCCAGCTCAGGCTGAGAGGTCCTTAAGACTACCTCCCAAATTAACAGTAAAAAGTTAGGCTGGCTGGGCACCAGTGGCTCATGCCTGCAATCCTAGCTACTCAAGATGCTGAGATCTGAGGATCACAATCAGAAGCTAGCCTGGGAAGGAAACACAAACACTCATCTCCAATTAACTAACTCCCAAAAAGCTGGAGGTAGAGCTATGTCTCCAATGGTAGAGTGCTATCTTTAAGCAAAAACCCCTCAAAGACAGTTCTCAGGCCCTGAGTCTGAGCCCTAATATTGGCACCAAAAAAAGCTAGGCTGAAGTCATGGTTCAAGTGGTAGAACTCCAGACTCTACCACTAGGAGTATGAGAATCCTAGTTAAATCCTGGTATAAAAAAAAAAAGAAATGAAAAAGAAAAGAAAAAGACAAAAAGAAAGACACAAAGAAAAAAGAGGAAGAAAAAAAAGGAAAAAAAGTAAATTTCTACTACCTAGAAGCAAAGTCCAATCTCCTACTGACAATATATACCTTATACCTTCCTTTGATGTTACTTTATAGTTAATGCCATTTTTAAGGTATGCTTTCACACTGATTGCTTTTCATTGATGTGCATGCTTGGAAATTTTTCTCATTTGTTTGTATGCAAACTACCCAATTATAGTAACTGTTGTCTACTTGCCTTCACACTTCTTCCAGAAATTCAGATACCTTTTGCTACTCCATTGAAATCATGTACCATAATTTATGTAAATATTTACAGTTGTTTCCCAACTAGAATAGTAACTAGATAACAAATAGCTCTGTAATGGATACCTTTAAACATAAAATGTTTGCCCGTATGTCTGATTACTTTTAGACTATATTCCAAGAAGCAATTTGCAATTACAAATTCTTATCATTATAAATTGTTGACATACATGACCAAACTACTTGTCAGGAAGATTATTCCAATTTGTATTCCAAATTTCACCAAATTCAGTTGTTTTAGTACTTTAGTATCATTGTAAGTACTAGTAGTTTTACAAATTGGTAATAGTCAAAAGTTTCATTGATGTGCATTTTTGAAAACTTTTTCACACTCATTTTATGTGCACTAACTATAAAGTGATTGTTGACACTTGTAGAGTGTGAATCCTGTTAAAACTGTAACAAGAAAAACAAAAACCCTATCTTGAGGACATTAGACTGACACAAGCCAATGACAAGAAGATAAATACTATTCAGTACTACATATGTGAAATACTTAAAGTATTCTCATTCACAGAGACAGCAGAAGCATTATTACCCTGGGCTAGGATAGGAGGGAGATTAATAGGGAAAAAGTTCTAGTTTTACAAGATGAAAAGAGTTCTAGAGATTAGCTGTACAGCAATGTACTTGACAGTACTGAATTATACACTTAAGAATGGTAAGGATGGCAAGTTTTATGTTTAAAATAAAGTGTCGAAGAACTTTCAGAAAATATAGGGGTATTGGTAGAAGAATAGTATATATCTACTGTAAAAATTAAAATATAAGCTTGGTGCTAGTGGCTCATGCCTGTAATCCCAGCTACTCAGGAGGCTGAGATCTGAGTATCACCGTTTGAAGTCAGCCCGGGCAAGAAAGTTCATGAAACTCTTATCTCCAATAAACCACCAGAAAACCAGAAGTGGCACTGTAGCTCAAGTTAGTTGAGTGTTAGCCTTGAGCTGAACTGCTGAGGGAACAGCACTCAGGCCCAGAGTTCAAGCCCACAACCAACAAAATAAATAATAAAACAAAATAAAATAAAATTTGATATGGGGAAAAAAAACAACCCTGGTCCTGTGACCAGTTTTGATAGTTTCACCCAGACATTTCTATACAATGACTGATAACCATACTATGTTATTATTATTTTCAATAGAAATAGGGCTATATATATGCACTGCTCTGTAACTTGTGTTTCACCTTCACAGCATATATTGACAGCTTTCCATGTCACTATACAACACACTATCTCATTCATTTTAGTGGCTGCAAAGTACTCCAAGAATCTTTACATTAAAAAACAAAACAAAAACATAAGTCCAGTTCGGTGGCTCATGCCTGTAATCCTAGTTACTCAGGAGGCTGAGATCTGAGGATCATGGTTCAAAGCCAGCCCAGGCAGGCAAATCTCTGATACTCTTATCTCCAATTAACCACTAGAAAACTGGAAGTGAAGCTGTGGCTCAAGCTTGCCTTGAGCTGAAGAGCTGAGGGACGCACCCAGGTCCAGAGTTCAAGTCCCATGACCAACAAAAACAAGAAAAAAAAACCAAACACACACACACACAACAACAGCAACAACAAAAACATTAATATAAAAGGAATAAATCAAAAGGGAAAACCAAAAGCAGAAAACTTCATAGTTTGGGACACATCAATCTGGTTACTTTTAGTCTGTGTTTCTATTGTTTGTAAATAGGGTGAGAAATATTCCTAACAGTAACATGGCACTTGTGCTCCTAAGAGAATGCAAATTATATCTCTTTTCTCACCAACTCTATTTAAACTACAAAATCAGACTGGTGCTTTCACAGTTTTAGAAGATACATTCTCTCATTAGCATTCACTGGTGGTTGTGTAAATGTAAAACCTACATTTCCATAGGAATTATGTGTCAAAACGCCATCTTCTCAAAGTACATTCAGAAAGATGAACACTAAATGGGATGATGAGGATAGAAAAAAGCATCTAACTCTGCAGTTCTAACTTGTCAGAACTCTCATTAATATTAATGCAATGCTATCAAATTCCACAGAGATAAAATGAAATGGTTTTACTTGTTCACAAGATTTCAGGAAAACTAAGAAGAAAACCAGAAGAAACTAAAGCTCCACACTGCTAAAAAATATAACTTATCAGTTGCAATGCTTGTGAAAGAGCTCAAGCTTTAATGGATAATTAAGGAGATAAAAAGTATATACAACATTAAAATTAGTTAAATTGGGACTGATAACTATAGTAACAGCCATATTTATTTACTCTTTTTTAGGTGCTTAAGAAATGCTTCAAAAATAGGACTCCACACATGACTGCGGGATTCCTACCTAATACACATGGTATGATATATTGAAAACCTGTTTACCTCTTGTGCAACCACTTGCAGATAATTTTTTAATAGTTGTTTAAAGATACACATTTTTAGGTGCACATTTAGGAAAGTGCTCTTTTAAATATCCTACTGATATGTACTAGGGCAATTTTTTTCTTTTAAAGTCAGATTAGAAAGAGGATAAACCACTGCTAAGAGCTCAGGAACACTAAACTAAAGCTATGGAATAGTCCCTAATGTCTGTACAATTAATGAGTACTTGAATAAATAATATAAGAAACACAATGCAGAAGTCCACTTATGCTCAAAGCTTTATTATATAAAGTCCATAAAATGTCTTAAAAGCAACCAGATAATTAAAGTTAATGTATAAAGCTTAGATAGCATGCTGTACAGTTCATTGTATTCATATACAATCTGATGTATTTTTAAGTACAGAGAGCTTACTAAAAAAGAAACAAAGCCAGGCACCAGTGGCTTACATCTGTAATCCTAGCTACTCAGGAGGCTGAGATCCGTGGTTCAAAGCCAACCTGGGCAGGAAAGTCTGTGAGATTCTCATCTGCAATTAACCACCAGAAAACTAGAAGTGGCACTGTGGCTCAAGTGGTAGAATGCTAGCCTTGAGCTGAAGAGCTGAGGGACAGCGCCCAGGCCCAGAGTTCAAGCTCCACCACCAACAAAAGAAAAAAAAAAACCCACAAAAACCAAAATAAAAAAGAAATAAAAATACCAGCATTTCATGAATGACCCTATTGTTGGGTTTTGCATATAGTTTATGACTATTATTTGTATTTGGATGGAATAAATACAGACCAAAAAAGCATCTTACGCAAAGCATGTGAATGCTGCCACAGCAGCTGCGCTACCGCCGGAGCTTCCCCCAGTTATGAGCCAATTTGAATCCTTGTTCTCACCACAGGGTGTCTGTTGCCTTTTTTCTCTATATTGTCTTGAAAAACTCCAGGGGTTCTTAACTGGTCCAAATATACCATCAGTGCTCCCAGATCTGAGATGGAGAAGTGAAGAATATACCTTAGTAAAACTTCCAGTTTATGTCAAATTTTCAAATCCTGAGTAGATTATTTGCTCTGGTACTTTTGATCTTTTAATAATCCACTGTAACTTGAGTTGGAAAAGGTAGGAAGCCTACTCAACAGTACTAAACAAAAACAGGCAGTTAAGGAGATGAAAAAAACATTTTGGGGGAACTAGAAAGTCGAAGAAATAATTAGCTAAGGAAATAATGTATCCTAATTTTTTTTTTTTTTTTGGTCCAGTTGTGGGGCCTGAACTCTGGGCCTGGGTGCTGTCCCTCAGCTCTTCAGCTCAAGGCTAGCGCTCTACCACTTGAGCCACAGCGCCACTTCTGGCTTTTTTGTTTTTGCTTATGTGGTGCTGAGGAATCGAACCCAGGGCTTCATGCATGCAAGGCAAGCGCTCTACCACTGAGCCTTGATCATTCAATTCAACTAAAGACTATTTCCCTTGTAAATAAGTCTTTCAGTTGAAAAGAGTTCCAAATATTTAAGCAGTTAAGAAATCCTCTGAAAGAATCTGTCCTTCTAGTGGAAGTTTCGAGTAAGCATTGTAAATAGAAGGCTCACAGCTTATTTCTAAGTTTTGAAATTTTATTCAGATAAATTATTTTAAAAAATCAAAACAATGTGTAAACCACTTTGCACCTCATCTGAATGCACCTACCGCTAATATTTCACCCATCTGTTTTATTATTCTCATGGTCTGTATGTGCTTATATACATAAAAATATACATGCTTCCCCCCCAAACTTAAGCTATGCATATATATATATATATAAAATGGCCCTTTACCTCCAAATACTTTAGCATATATTTGGTACTCATTTCCTAAGAACAAAGACATTCTGTAACACAACCAGTATAGTTATCAATCATAGTACAATTTCCATCAATACAATAATCTACTGTATATAGTCCAGTTTTGTGAGCTTATTTGATAATATGTTTTATAGCATTTTATCCTCCTCCAGGATCAAATCCACAATCAGATACTGCATTAGTTCATCAATTCTCTTTAGTTTCTTTTTGCTGTGGCTGATTTTTGTTTGTTTGTTTTTGTCAGTCATGGGCCTGAACTCTGGGCCTGGGCGCTGTCCCTCAGCTCTTCAGCTCATGGCTAGCGCTCTACCACTTAAGCCTCAGCGCCACTTCTGGCTTTTTCTGCTTATGTGGGACTGAGGAATTGAACCTAGGGCTTCATGCATGCAAGGCAAGCATTCTACCACTGAGTCACCTTCCCAGCCCCTTGCTGTGGCTGTTTTTGTTTTTTTAAACCCTTTGTCAGTAGATACCAGGCTATTCTGAGCTTGGGCTAATTATGAAAAAGCCACTATAGATGTACCACCTCCAAGGTTTTGCCATTGCTTTTGTGTAAATGTAAGTCTTCAATTTCAAATTTATGTTTTCCAAAATTCTTCTCTGTTGGTTTCTTGCTTTTTTATGTTTTAGGAGTATATTTCAAAGATCAGATGTCCTTAATTTATAAAAAAAATCCAATCTATCAATTCAGTAATTTGTACTTTATACATTCTATGACATTTTGCCTCTCATGGTCATACCCAAGTTTTCTTTTCTAAATTCTATAGTTTCTGGTTTTACTTTCCTTAGACTCTTTAATTTGTAGCATTTTCATATATTTTGTTTTCACAATGTTCAATTTTAATAGAATACGCCTTATTTTGGATGTTATGTGTTTCTCTGTTTTTAGATTTAAGATAAACATTTTCTTATATGGAATATTATCTAAGTAATTCTCAAAGAATCAAATTAAGTTCTTAAATTAAGTCCAAATAAGTTCATTTCACCCTCACTGGCAGTATATTTTAGTAAGATAAAGACAATATCCAAAGAAATCTATGTTCAAGTTTACTTCCATGGATTAGTTCTTTAACTATATTTCTATTGAGTACCAAGCACTGTAAACTTGACAGTCAAGAGCTTTGTTTCTATGGAATATGGAACACAGACCATGCAAACATTGTAAATGTGACAACTATTGAAAAGGGAACATCTAAAGTGCTTTTGGTGAAAGACTGACTACTTTCTTCTAAAGAAAAGAACAGGGACAAGGAAAGAATATCTGTTTCCACACTTCTGTTCAACACTGCATTAAAGGTGTTAACTGGTACAGTAAGGTAAGAAAACAAAAAGAAGGAAAATGATCTCTATGTTATATACATAATACTAAATATATATACTAAATATTATTCCAAAGAATCCACAAAAAACAAATAAGTGAGCTTTAATCACTAAGATCATGGGACATGCAGTTAATATACAAAAATCAATTATGTCTCTATGTACTAGCAATAAACAATTTGAAATTAAAGAAGATTCCATTTTCTATAGCATTAAAAAGTATAAAGCTAGGTGCTGGTGGCTCACAACTGTAATCTTAGCTACTCAGGAGGCTAAGATCTGAGGACTACATTTCAAAGTCAGCCTGGGCAGACAAATCTGTGGGACTCTTATCTCCAATTAACTATCAAAAAGCTGGAAGTAGAAGAATATCTCAAGTGGCAGAACATCAGCCATGAAGTTGAAAGAGCTTGAGGCCCAGACTTTAAGCACACAGCACATGCACGTATACACAGGATAAAATTCTTGAGTATAAATTATATGTAAGGTTTATATGCAAAAACTCAAAAACATTGGGTGAGAGGGAAAAAGTAAACAAAAGCTCAGTGTTGAGACCCAAGGTGTTAATGAATTAGAAGATACTTAAGACGACAATAATTTCTCTTTATAGAAGTCAGTCTGGAAGTTCCACACAAAATTCCATTAAATGTCTTTGTAGAAAGAAGTTGATTCTAAAACTTTTATGAAACACAAAGGACTTAAAACGTGTAAATAGAAGAAAAAAATGAGAGGAATTTCTCTAATTTAGGGCCAGAGTCCAGAAAGTCTTAAAAAGAAAAAAGAAAAAAAAAAAAAAGCTAACCAGATGCTGATGGTTCACACCTATAATCCTAACTACTCAGGAGTCTGAGATCTGAGGATCTGTGTTTAAAGCCTGCCCAGATAGGAAAGTCCAGGAGACTCTTATCTCCAATTAACCACCAGAAAACCGGAAGTGGTATTGTGGCTCAAGTGGTAAAGCACTTGCCTTGCATGCATGAGGCCCTAGGTTCAATTCCTCAGCACCATATAAGCAAAGAAAAAAGCCAGAAGTGGCACTGTGGCTCAAGTGGTAGAGTGTTAACCTTGAGCTGAGGAGCTGAGGGACAGTGCCTAGGCCGAGTTCAGGCCCCACAACTGGACTAAGAAATCGGTATTAGAATCCTCAAGAATCTTCAAGGAGCTACACTTAGTGATATTAAAGGCATAGATAGGAGAAACACAACAGGAGAAGATTTCCATTTTACTTACCCCATAGCAAACTCATCTAAATTTGTTTTTCCCATTAGTACAGCTCCCTGATCCAGTAACTTCTGCACTACTGTAGCATTATAAGGTGGTATATAACCTGAAAAAAAAAAAGTTATTCTTATTGCTGAAAACAGGGAACATGCAAATGATATGCAGAAAATGCAACTATAAATTTTTAATCAATTTGTGTTCATGCCTTAATCCTAATTTGAATAGTAGGTTGAACTTTCTTCTAAGAGTTAATGTTTTTTTGTCGGTTGTGGGGCTTGAACTCTGGGTTTGGGCGCTATCCCTCAACTTTTCAGCTTGAGGAGAGTGCTCTACCACTTGAGCCACAGCGCCACTTCCCTAAGAGTTAATTTTTTCTCCTGATAATTTTCCAAAGACAGTCTGTACATCATTCATTGACTTTAGCCAGGTGCCAGTGGCTTATGCTTATAATCCTAGTTACTCAGGAGACTAACATCTGAGGATTGAGGTTTGATGTCAGCCCAGGAAGGAAAATCAGTGAGATCCTTCTCTACAATTAACCACCAGAAAACCAGAAGTGGTGCTGTGGCTCAAAGTGGCAGAGTGCTAGCCTTGAGCAAAAAAGCTTAGGGACAGTGTTCAGGTGCTGAGTTCAAGCCCCATTACCAACTGACCAACCAACAAATAAATGGACAAATATTAACTGCAACTACTGCATGATAATAATATAATCAATTCACTTAATATTTATTACAAATCATTGTATTGTTCACTATGCTTGAGTTTTCTTCTTGGATGATATCTGGTTAGAAATTTTATTCTCAATTAAAATTTCTTCTATCAATAAAAAAAGTTTTATCATATATTCCAGAACCACAAGCCACAGTCTACCTATGGGAGGAGACTGGAGCATGTTCATCATAGACTATTAGTGTGGTACACACTCAACTTCTTTTTCATTTTATTTACTTTTGCTCAGAATCTAAATATCTTGATCAGAATGCTTGCTTTTGACCTACTAGATGAGGAAGAATAAAATCAAGCATTAATATACTACACTAAAGAGATGGAGGAAGCAGGAACTAAAGAACTGTTGAGTAAAGAAATTCTCAAATCACCCGTAAGTGAGGAATAAAGATAATAATTCATACTGAGTCCTTGTTTTACACAAACTTGAGTTAGAGGTCACTTTGTACTTTTGTGCTGATCAGTTGCTGAGTCTTCTTCTTAAACAGAATTTCTAAAACTTCTGAGACAGCACTTATTTATTAAGCTGATCTAACTCTAAAGCATATTCTGCATGCTGAAGGAATAGTAAAACAATCCTAAGTATTTTTCCCAAAATACAATTAGTCTTTAAGATTATCTTGGTGCTTTAGTGTTTCATCTTTTACTAAAAAATACCTATTTTATAAAAGTTTGAATGCTCCAATCAGTTACCTTTTAGCATATTTGATGCACATGTTGTCTCGATACCTGATGTGCTGAAATTGTCTTTTACTGAAATAGGAATTCCATCTAAATCCCCAAGTGACTGACCTGCATTAAAATCCAGAAGAGTGATATATGATAATCTGGTTCAAAATGTACAAATGTATCTTTAAATACATATGCATAACTTTTAATATGTCTTTTAGTTGTTTTACTAATTATTATTTTTAGCAATGAGAAATTAAATTTATGCTTGAAATTATTACAGTTAGACATTATAAAGCATCACATACCCATTAGCCTCATTTTTACTATACCTCGTGGCCAGTTCTTTAAATACAGGTATGTTTTACATTTAAAGTTTCACTTGCTAAAAAAAGACTACTGTATCCAATTAAACTCTTTCTCTGGAGATATAGCAGAGAAGTATAATTACAAGTAATTTACTTTTCTTATAATTAAAAATAATTTACCTTCCTTATATCTTTTCTCTGATTCTTCAGCTTGCTTTAGGGCCACCTCTTCTGATACAGTAATGTAAGCATTTAGAAACTTGGTTTTCCTGATGAGGGACAGACATTTCTGACAGAGCTCTGTTGGTGTAATCTGGCCTTGTTTCAGTGCTGCAGAAACCTATATCACATACAATTCAAAAATCTTTTATTATTATATGAAGTGGGCAATAGAATGGCTAAACACAGAGTTTTGAAGTGAGGCTCTGATTCAAAATTCTGATAACCCAATATTTAAGATAACATACTGAATGAAGGGAAGGATGTTGATCAGCTAGACTAGCTGGCTAGTTTTCTAAATTAGGCTTTAGCAGCCTTTAGAAATAGTTTTTATGTGTTTTCTTTTTTTTGATCGTGGGGCCTGAACTCTGGGCCTGGGTGCTGTCTCTCAGCTCTTCAGCTCAAGGCTAGCACTCTACCACTTGAACTACAGTGCTACTTCTGGCTTTTTCTGCTTATGTGGTACTGAGGAATGGAGCCCAGGGCCTCATGCATGCAAGGCAAGCACTATACCACTGAGCCATCTTCCCAGTCCCTAGAAATAGTTTTTGTAAGTCATCCTGGTAAGGATCAGCTAGAACTCTGCTGAATAAAGGATGAGTTGGGGACGGCTTTGTATAAGGAGCAGCTTATTGCACAGCAAACAGTCCAGAATAAGAAAAGAGAAGTGAACTGAACAGGCACTACAGGACTTTATGATGCTGAATAAGATCATTATATCTAGCCAGGAACTGGTGGCTTATGCCCATGATCCTAGCTACTCAGTAAACTGAGATCTGGAAGATCACAGTTTGAATCCAGCCTAGGCAGAAACACCTCTGAGACTCTATCTCCAATTAACCAGCAAAATGTTGGGATGGAGGTGTGGCTCCAATAGTAGACTGTCAGCTGTGAACAAGAAAGTAGAGCGAGAACTCAAGGCTATGAGTACAAACCTAGGTGTCAGTAAAAAAGAAACAAATGAAAAAATACCTTAAATGAAAAAAAGTGTTTATACCTGTTGTGGAATGTGAGAAAGAGACATTATAATTGAGAGTAAAGCTTGTAAGATATAGGTTCAAGAGCAATTGAAAACTTTTCAGGAGGGCTGGGAAGGTGGCTCAGTGGTAGAGCGCTTGCCTTGCATGCATGAGGCCCTGGGTTCGATTCTTCAGCACCACATAAGCAAAAAGGAAAAAGCTGGAAGTGGCGCTGTGGTTCAAGTGGTAGAGCGCTAGCCTTGAGCTGAAGAGCTGAGGGACAGCACCCAGGCCCAGAGTCCAGGCCCCACAACCAGACCCCCCCAAACTTTTCAGGAATTCTGTTTTTTGTGTTCTAGGAAGGCTGATGAGAAAAAGTGTAAAAACTGCAAAAGAAATGACCAGAATTTGCAAAATAATAGAAAGGAAGGCCTGAAATGAAGTGATGATTATCTAGTATTTCCTGTAGGAGCTAATAATATGAACTGATGAATTAGAAAAGGAATACATAACAAGAAGACAAAGATGATACTAAAGCTTTGGCAACCATATGAAAAAAGAGTTGGAGCTGGGCACTGGTGATTCATGCCTGTAATCCTAGCTAGAGTCTGGGATCCGAGGGATCATGGTATAAAGCCAGTCTGAGAAGATAAATTTATGAGACTCTCATCTCTACTTAACCAGCAAGAAGCTAGAAGTAGAGAAGTAGAGGTATGACTTAGTGGTATAACACTAGCCTTGAATGAAAAACTAAGGGCCCAGCCCTGAGTTCAAGCCCTAGTACCAGCGCACACAGGCACTGCCCCCCCCCCACACCTTCAGGAGTGGGATTATCTCATGAGACAAGAGTTCACAGACAGAGGGAGACAGGGAGAGTAGGGAAAGTATTACTATTACTATTAGTAGTAATTGTTAGTAGTAGTAGTAGTATTTGCCAAGAGGTAGACATGTTGCATTACATATCTTGTCAACTCATTTTACCCCAAAACAAACACATATTTTAGGTATCAAGTAATAGGATTTTACAACTGAACATATCATTAAGGACATGTCATTTTCAGGTTTAAGGTTAATGAGAAAAGCAGGGGAAGAGGCAATTGGGAGAATCCCTAATGCTCATGGATAAGAGGTGGACAAGGACTAGCAAAGGAAGGCTGCAGGAGCAATTCAGAGATGTAAGGACCTAACTCAGTAACAGTGATATTTCTATTGACTTGCTTGCATGAAATACAAAGTCTTCAGAAGAAATGAGCTAGAAAGAAAAGATAGCTGTGTGTTTTAATGTTCTGAATGGAGAGTGCAAAGACAGAAGACAGTGGCGGCTTAGTGGAGGAGTTATTATTAGCAAACACTCAACCCCAGACACAGAGAAGTAGCTATAAGCCTATCACATGGCAAGGCTGTAGTAACAAGGAAACTATGCCTGCCACCTCTCTTCTTCCTCGGTCATGACTTGTCAACTGGTATGAAACTAAGAGCTAAGGTATATGTTAGATGCTCAAGAAAGAGATTGTATAGGAGCACTCGCATACAATGGTGCTGATCTTCATTAGGGTCAACTTTAGGAATTCTAGCATTGAGAAAATCAGTAGGGGAATTGGAAAACAGAAGTGAAACAAAGATGCTAATTAGAGTGAACCAAGCATAAGGATAAGAAATGTAAATTGGATAGCTCTCCTGGGACAAAACTGCAGGTGTCACATTTCAATAAAAAACAAAGTTAATTTTTTTAATTCTCATTTTAAAAATTCTCTCTTCTGGAACATGTCTACTAGAAATTGAGCTTTCCCTAGAGACCACTGTTCCCCATTTTGTTCCTACCTAGTACAGCCCACAGTCCAGTAGGGCAGAGGGTGTGCAGGCAGGCATCCTGGTTCTTCCACACCTTGTGTGCAGGCAGGCATCCTGGTTCTTCCACACCTTTTTCTTCTCTCTTCTTTTAAAAAGCCCAGCCAATCTCAAGCACAATCTTTGGAATTATGGTGTTCCCCTCTTTTGCATGTTAATCCAGTCACACCCTTGCATTCACTTTCTTTTTTGTTCCTATTGTCTTCAAGTCAATGTATAGTGACAACCAGTCTCTCAATTCACACAAACTGTTCTCCCCCCCCCCCCCCCCCCCCCACCCCCCCCCCACCCCAGGGCGCTGTCCCTCAGCTCTTCAGCTCAAGGCTAGTGCTCTATCACTTGAGCCACAGTACCACTTCCAGTTTTCTGGTGGTTAATTGGAGATAAGAGTCTCACGGATTTTGTGCCAGGGCTGGCTTTGAACGGTGATCCTCAGATCTCAGCCACCTGAGCAGCTAGGATTACAGGTGTGAGGCACCCACACCTAGCACAAACTGTTCTTTAACTACTTCTCAGTTACAAGCCTGCCTGGTTCTAGCCTAAAGTACAACATTAGCTAACCACTTCCTACAATCTCTTAAATATCTCTACATTATCTTAAATATTCTGTCACCTACATCTCCAGTCCCCTCAACTCATTACTTTCCTACTCACACAGACAGGTGGGTGGGGGAGGGGTCTCAATCCCACAATCTCAGAAGACACCCAAAATTCCAGATGACACCAAGTCTAACACTTTGATTTTAGCCTGTGAGGCTCCAAGCAGAGGCCTACTCCATCCACAAGTGTTAATGAAAAGATTGTGGTGTTTCTAAGCCACAAAGGTTTATTTATTTTTGATATATATGCTTTAAAAGAAAGGAAAATGATGGAACTAATTTTAGAAAGTAGGGGAAGGGAGAATTGTAAATACAAATAATTTGGGAATTTTGTCCTTGTTAAAAAATTGGTATTAATAATAGCTAGTTCTTTTTTTTGGGGGGTGTCCGGTTTTGGGGCCTGAACTCTGGGCCTGGGCACTGTCCCTCAGCTCTTCAGCTCAAGACTAGCACTCTACCACTTGAGCCACAGTGCCACTTCTGGCTTTTTTCTTTTTGCTTATGTGGTGTTGAGGAATCGAACTCAGGGCTTCATGCATGCAAGGCAAGCGCTCTACCACTGAGGCACCGTCCCAGCCCCAATAGCTAATTCTTATAGACATTTTCTCAAGATGTTTTATATTTCTTTGAATGTTTACTTCCACACTGAGGAGCTGATGCTTTTTTTTGGCCAGTTAGGGAGGCTGAACTCTAGGCCTGGATGCTGTCCCTCAGCTCTACAGCTCACTGCTAGCACTCTACCACTTAAGCCTCAGCGCCACTTCTGGCTTTTTCTGCTTATGTGGTACTGAGGAATTGAACCCAGGACTTCATGCATGCAAGGCAAGCACTCTACCACTGAGTCACCTTCCCAGCCTGAGCTGATGCTATTAACTGCATTTTACTGATAGTGTATTTAGCTCCTGTTTGAGGTCACATAGCTAAAAAAGAGCTGGGATTCAAGCAAGGCTTGATTATATTTCCAAACATTCATGATTAGAATCACTAATCAAGAACACATCTGTGTGCAAGACACTATGCTATCTATTTAACAAGCAGTACTTTTGTGTGTGTGTGTGTGTGTGTGTGTGTGTGCCAGACCTGGGGCTTGGACTCTGGGCACTGTCCCTAAGCTTTTTTGTTCAAGCTCTACCACTTGAACCAAGGCTTTTTACCAAAAGCCATAAAAGATAATTAAGAGATGAGAGTCTCATGGCTTTGAACCTTGATTTATAAATCTCAGCTTCCTGAGTATCTAGGATTACAAAAAGCAGAACATTTTTAAAAATTAATTTTGCAGGTAATATCTGAGGTTTACTTAGACAAAGAACTGTCTCTCAAAAAGAATTGTCTTGAAAAAGGTATTGGTGAGCCATTCAAGCTGAGTATGCCCTTCAAGCTGATGAGTGCTTATTTGCTCTTTGATACACACCATCATGTTTTGTGTTCATTGTTTCAAGATTGCACATTCCTAAAACTAGTATTCAACAGCCTGCCCTCACTTTCCAGTACATCATCTCAGAAGCACAAAGATGTGACTGCTTTGGCACACTTCACTTGGGTCTAAACATCATTACATCTTGGTTTTTCTCTTGCCCCTCTGGCCATTTCAAGGTTTATTTTGCTGGATTTATTTCCTATTGTTGACCACTAAAGGTTGGAAAAATTTAGGCCTTTTACTTTTACACTCACCCTCCCAAGGTGATCTCATCTGGCCATGTGGCTCTAACTATCTT